TGGCAGTATCAATGGATTCAAGCATGGCAACAGTAGTGAGGTTGGCCCAGTGTTTCATTCTGTTGTACATAACGTCACTATGAGTCGGTACTGACTCGATGGCACCTAACAACAACAACAAATGGAGAAAAGATTGAAGTTGTCAAAGACTTCATTTTGCTTGTATCCACAATCAACACTCATGGAAGCAACAGTCAAGAAATCAAATGATGTATTGCATTAGGCGAATCTGCTGCACCAAACCTCTTTAGAGTGTTTAAGAGCAAAAGTGTCAGTTTGAGGACTAAGGTGCACCTGATGCAAGCCATGAGATTTTCAATTGCCTCATATGCAAGGAGCTCTGGTAGCATAATGGTTATGAATCGGGCTGCCAACCTCAAGGTCAGCAGTTCAAAATTACCAGCTGTTCACGGGAGAATGATGAGGCTTTCTGCTCCTGTAAAGATTTACAACCTTGGAAACCCAGTGCAGGGTCACTATGAGTTGGAACCAACTCCATGGTACTTAAAAACAACAACATATGCATGTGAAAGTTGGACAATGAATAAAGAAGACTTGATGCATTCAAATTATGGTATTGAAGGAATATATTGAAAGTATCCTCTGGACTTCCAGAAGAACAAACAAATCTCTCTTGGAAGAAGTATACTCAGAATACTCCTTGGAAGCCAGGACGGCGTGACTTCGTCTCTCATACTTTGGACATATTATCAGGAGGGACCAGTACTTCCTTGAGAAGGACATTATGCTATGTAAAGTGGAAGGCCAGCGATAAAGAGGAAGACCCCAACAAGATGGATTGGCATAGTGGTTACAGCAGTTGGATAAAGTGTAACATCAATTGTGAGTATGGTGCCAGACCAGGCAGTGTTTTGTTCTGTTGTACATAGGGTTGTTATGAGTTGGAGCCAACTTGTCGGCACCTAACAACAACATCAACATGCAGATGGATCCTAAATTTACATCTACAGCCCCACCTCTTTCTTAAGCCCCAACTTCTACATCTAACAATTGCCCACTGACAGTTTGATGTATATTTCTAACAAATGTTCATTTAAAACTGAACAAACCCAAAATTGAGCTCTTTTTCCTCCCAATTTTCCTAGTTTCAATTTCACAGTGATTCCAGCCTTCCCAGGGTCTCAGAACTTATCTCTGACTCATCTTTCTCTCACATGGATATCCGGTTTCTCAGCTAACTTTGTTGACTACACATTCAAACTACATCTAGAATTTGATCCAACTCATCACCTCCTTCACTACCAGGGTTAGAATTAAAACCAGGCTGCATGCTGATGAAGCCCAGGTTCCTAATCTACCCCACCCAGCTGACTGAGGCTGAACCTGCCTATCCCACCCTTCAGCACCACGTAGCGGAGTCAGCTGGCTCTCCACACCTGCTCCTAAACTCTAAAATTATCTATGTTCTTTTCATCTTCCCCACAGTCTATCTGCCCTAGCGTTCTTCACCTTGGGTCCCTGGGCTTCCTCAGTAGTAGATCTCTAAACTCAATGAAGTAGCATGAGAAACCTTGTGTGGATGTACATTTTTCTGAAAAGAAGCCAATGTGTCTCGTCACACCTTCAAGAGAACCATTTAAAACACAAAAGAGTTTTCTGTGGAGTCATCTCAAACTCATGGCAACCCTGTGTGTGCAGAGTACATGGGCTCTGTAGAGTTTTCATGGCTGTGACCTTTGGGAAGCAAACCACCAGACCTTTGTTCAAAGGTGCCTCTGGATGGGTTTAAACTGACAACCTTTTGAATAGTAGCCAAGCACTGTTTGTACAACCTAGGGACTCCAGAGGCCTTGCACCTTCTTTCCCTATTGGTCAGTACTTTAAAACTGACACGGGCATTTATGCATGCATGGTCTGTAGATGTCCTTCTATCTATGTACGCATGCATAATTTCTCCTACTACTTTTGATCTTCTTAGTAACTGTTTTTGGGCTGTAGCCATAGCGCTAATCCTGCCAGGGATTCTCAGCAGGGAATGGGGTAGCGATAGAGTCTCCAGGCCACTAGGAGGGTCAGTGTTATTATTATCATTAGCTGTCCTTGAATCAGTTCTGGCTCCTGGCAACTTTATGTACTATAGAACAGCATGTTGCCCAATCCTGCATCATCCCTGACAATCACCAACATGTCCTGGCCCATTTTTGTGGCTCTCATGTCCATCCATCTCACCAAGGGTCTCCCACACATTGGTCAACCCTCTACTTCAACAAACATGATGTCCTCCTCCAAAAATTGGTCTTTCCCAGTGGCATATCCAAAGCAAGCGATTTGGACAATGTTCTGTGATGAGCCACAAGATTTTCATTGGCTGATGTTTAGAAGTAGATCACAAGTCCTTTCTTCCTAGTCTGTAAGCTCTGTTTAAACCTGTCCACTATGGGTGACCATACTGGTATTTGAAATACTAGTGACATAGCTTCCAACATCCTAGCAACATGTAAGCCATCACGGTACGACAAACTGACAAATTGTGGAGAGGGAGAGTTAGTAAAGGCATATTCAACTCATTTATTATTACTGGTGGCAGAATGACAGGCTCTCTCAGTGACACTGTTCTGGTTTTAACGGGAAGGAGACCCATAATTTAGAGTGAGGAGGCATTGTAGAAAAGGTTGAGAAATGATGCACAAGTCGTTCAAACTAGCAAGACACTTATAACACCATCCATAGTGCCACTAATTTCTGGGATTTTTCTTCTTGTGCATCATCACATACTTCACTTCTGCACCCTTGAACTGGCTTTGGTATAATGTTTCTAAATCAGTATCTTATGATGGTGTCTATAGTCTTATGTTTCCTAAGTCCCTTTGATGACAGAGACCAACTAGTTGTCAAGTGTATGACTTTAAATCAGAGTAGTGTATGGTACCCTGAATGACTTCCTCTTTGGTTCTCTGTATGGAAAGCAAGAGGTCCCTGGGCCAGTGGTCATGTGTGAACTGAGAGGAAAAGTAGGTCTGATTGTGTTACTTCCAGGACCTGTTTGGAGATGACCACAACAAGAATGGATTCAAAATGTTCGACTCCTCTGACTATCACGGCCAAGACCTGCTGTTCAAAGATGCCACCATCCGAGCCGTGCCTGTGGGAGAGAAAACCTCTTACCAAGACTGGCTGGGCCTCGACTACGTGGCATCCCTGGAAGGAATGCTGTCTCAACAGTGCTCCCATGCAGGTAGGGTGGCCTGGGTACAGCTGGAGAGCTTCCAAAACCCTGGGAGGGGCAACTCCACACCACACAGAACAGGAACAGGCACCAGCCGTATTCCTCAACACCATCCAGGACTCTCTAGGTTCCTGGTGACACAGGGCAAAGGCCCCCATTTCATAAAGAACCAAGGTGAAGAAGGGGCTAAACAGGGAGCTGCAGACAACTGTAGGCAGAAACACAGGCTGTGTAACCCAAACAGACCTGAGTAATTAGCATAAATGCTTGTTATAATAGTCCAAAGAGGATTGGAGGCAACTACATAAATATGCATGTAGTATAATTTTTTAAAGACATGCATATGTAATGAAGCCAGGGGAGAGAAAATTGAGAGGTAGGGGCCAGAGCCTGGAGTGAGATTAGTGCATAGAAGGACATTCCTTAGAGTCCTGTCCACGGGTCCCTGGGGCCACGAGCCAGCCCTGCAGACTGGAGGCCTCACTGTTGTGTTTGTTCCCTCAGTGGTCTCGGCCTCCACAGTGTCCCCGATGCTGCTGCTGCTGCCGCTGTCCCTCACCACCAATCTCCTGCGGCCCTCCCTCTGAAAGCAAGCCCGGCTCTCCCTTGGAATGGAAACTGACTCAGAACCTACATACATAAGGCCCATCTCCCGGGTAAATCCGGTGAACGCTGCTCAGAGAAGAAATGTGTGATGGGAGAGGAAGTATGAGAAACCACAGAGCACCTCAGATTTGAGATTCCTGACACACTGTAGAGAAGTTTCTACGATGGCTTTGAACTGGAATAAAGACAAATGCTAAAGAAAAGTCCCCCAACTTGGACCAGAGCAGATTCCTCCTGCTGGAAGCCAGCCTTCTGCCTCCCAGGCACCACCTGGCCCTCTGCTACCTGAGGCAGCCTGCTGGCGGCCCCCAGTCACACACACCCACAGGCTGGCACAGGTCCTGCTTCCCTGCAGACTCTCCCACCACGTGGAACCTCACCAGGCTGGAGCTCAGAAAAAGTCCAGTTACCAAGGAAACAGGCTGAGCCCAACATCCCACACGGCCGCTGCTGGAGCGAGGAGCCTGCCCTGCAGAGATGCCAGGGGGGCCTGGTGAGATGTGCCGGCTTGCAAGCCCCCTCCCGGCACCCACGGGTCTCTCCAAGAGCGGACACTGCATCTCTGGTGGGCGGCTTCACCTCAGCCCTGGTGTCATCTGTCCGCTTCCTCCTGAGACACTGCCCTCTGAAAAGGGACCCGCTGGGCACGTTCAGTCCCTACCACTGGACACTTGAGAATACTTGGGGGTAGGCCCAGAGGCTGCTGGTCCTGTACCATCCCCATGACCGGTTTTGGAGAGCACCATTGTGATCCATAGTGCTGTAATTGGCTGGTTTTCACCTAACAATGCTGGGTTGGGGGAGACCAGGGTTGGACTATAGGGATGAAACCCTCAAGAAATAATCAAAAGAAATGGCTCTCTCAGTAAGAATTTTTATTAACTGAGGGGCTTGATGCAGAATTGAACCTGCTTCTTTGTGCTCTGCCCTTCGATGAACTCGGCTGCCCCAAACTCTTTTCTAAGTGAGCTAAGCCCACTCCTGAGTTTCCTCATCTAGAGCTCGGTCTCAGAGCATCCCCTTCTCTCCCTCAGCCCACTCCATACGCTGGCCCCAGTAGTTGCCTCAGGGCTGAAAGGACTGGCCTCAGAAGGTTCCAGATGCTGGAGGGCCCTCTGAGAGTTGGGCATGGGGTGGTGCCATTCTTTGTCAGAGCCACAGGCTGGCGTGAGCTTATCTCCTTCCTCAGCCCTGCGCCACTCCCTCCAGAGGAAGGGTCCCCATTTCTGCTCCCCTGTGCCTGGAGGGGACCTTCTCACTACTCCACCATAATTATCTGAGAAGCCAGAGCAAAAGTTTCCAGAACTACCAGCTTTTACTCTGAATTTTGATCCTTAAAATAATAAAAAGAAAAAGAAGAAACAGGAGCTAGCAGCCCTGTCAGAAGACTAGGAGTCGCGTGGGCCTGGAGCTATTTGTATCCTGGACTGCGGGGGCTTCAGGGACGCTGATGACAAGCTGGGTTCCCAATGGCCGCCCCCACCTGTGGGCGTCGGGACAGATCCCTTCCATCTCTCAGCAGCAAGGGGGGCCCCTGGCAGCGACTTGGCAGTAGCCACACTGAGCCAAGGAGCCGGATTATCATGCTGAGGGGTGGGAGAACCCTCACCCCACCTGTGAGAAGCCAGAGCTGTGCCTCCACTGCCAACCCTTGTCCCCTCCTCATGGGAGAGAAAGAATGTCTTGCCCTGGCTTTTTTTCTGACTGATGATTGTTGGATTTTGTTTTTTATTTAAAGGAAAATTTGTGCATTAAGAAATGCATCTGTGTGACTGGGCCCGTGTGCAGCCCAGGTGAGAATCCTGCTCTGAGCTTTGAAAGCTGTGGCCTGGGTGAGTGCAGTATAAGTGATGTTTTGATTGTCCCTCCTGTGTCTGTCTGTACTAATAAAAGATGTTGGTTTGTTTTTTTAAATAAAGACAAACAACCCTGAACTTGCTGTGACTTGAATTCTGACAGTTTTGTCCTCTTAGGGTATCTAAAGCCTACAACAATGGCAGCCAGAGCACTGTGGGCCTCCAGCCCGATTCCCTTCTCCTATCTGCATTGATTCCCTGCCCAGCCATCCCTGGCACATCCCAGCTGCCTCCACCCCCTCAGCCTCTTGGGTGTTGGCTCCTCTAGACTGATAGCAGAGGAGGATGCAAATTTCTCCACTGTCCCCTGACCCATGTTTCCAAAATGAGCTGCCCACCCATTTTTCTTTTCTGCAAGTTTGCTGCTAATTCCCTGGTAGGAGGAGGTTGGGGAAGATCTGAGTACTCCCAGTGGTCACTCTCGGTGTGTATGAAAGTTTCCATGGACCCAGGCTGGACTGTGTCTGTGTCCTGCTCTCCCGGGGGTTGGGGTTGGGGTTGGGGAATAGTTTCTCCATACTTCCCCTCTTATGACTCCTGCCCTACTTTGTGTCAGGTTCTCACTCCTCACATGCAGTCAGTCCAGGGCCCAGTTCCCATGAAGCTGGGCAGCAGCAGCTGGTAGACCTGGTCTCTGTCATCACTTGGCTCAGTTTCAACTACCACACCAGCTCTCCTGCCTTGGCCATCCGCTACTATGAGCCTTGGGAATGTTACTCCCCTCTTCTTCTGAAAAATAGGCAGAATAATCAGATCTGTCTGGCGAGGTTGTTGTGAAGACCAGATTATAATATATGTAAAGCGCTCAGCATCGTGTTTTACATTATTACATGCACCACAAGTGCAGGAAAGACTTCAGCTATTGCTATTGCCGGTAATCTGGGTCCCTATTGCTTTGGCTTTAAATGGCAAATTCTTAGGAGAGCGAATCTGATTGGTCCATTGTGGGTCAGGTGTCTACCAGTAGACCTGTCAGCTAAGGTGAGGAAACAAGCATGTAGCTGGAATTTAACCACTGAGGACCCCAAGAAACAGGAAAGGAAATCATCCAGGCAGCCTCCCTAACTGGTCTTTGTTCTTAGCGCCCACTGAGTTGGGTCCTGATTCACGCACAATAGAACGAGAGGATGCCCTGTCCTTGGCTCTTATAGAGCTCTCATTGGCTGATTTTCAGAAGTAGATCACAAGATCTTTCTTCCTAGTCTTAGACTAGAAGCACCACTGAAATTTGTTCAGCATCATGACAACACACAAGCCTCCATTGATGGATGAGTGGTGGCTATACTTGGTTGGGAATTGAACTCAGGCTTCCTGCATGGGAGGCAAAAAACTCTACCACTGAACTCCCAATGTGCTCATCAATTGGTGGATGCCAGGTCGGTTGTAGATTATTTGGGACATTCATTGAGCAAATATTTATTGGATACCTACTATTAGAAAACCTCAAGTAGCAATATGGAAGAATCCTCTGGGCAAAATATTAATGATGCAGGAAGCATCAAAAGAAGATGGAAGAAATACACACAGTCATTGTACCAAAAGAATTGGTCAATGTTCCACCATTTCAGGTGGTAGTACATAATCAAAAGCCAATGGTATTGAAGGAAGAAGTCAAAGTTGCAATGGAGGCACTGGCAAAAAACAAACCTCCAGGAATTGATAGAACACTTGAAATGCTTCAACAAATGGATACAATACAGGAAGTGTTCACTAGTCTATGACAAGAGATCTGGAAGCAGAGAATACTTTGGCCAATCAACTGGAAGAGATCCATACTTGTGTCTATTACTAATAAAGGTGATCAAACAGTATGTAGAAATTGTCAAACGATATCATTAGCATCACATGTAAGGAAAATTTTGCTGAAGAAATGTCAGAAAGGATTGCAGCAGAACATTAGTAGTGAACTGCCAGAAATTCAACCTGGATTCAAATGAATATGTTGAACAAAGAGTATCATTGCTGATGCCAAATGGATCTTGACTGAAAGCAGAGACTACTAGTAAGATCTTTACCTGTGTTACAAAGGAATTTGACTGTGTGAGTCTTAATAAATCATGGATAATATTTCAAAGAATGGGAATTCCAGAATTTGATTGTGCTCATGTGGAACCTGTACATAGACCAAGAGGCTGTCGTTCAAATACAATAAGGAGTAACTGTGTGATTTAAAACCAATGCATCAGGGTTGTATCCTTTCATCAAATTTAATCTGTATATCGAGCAAATCCAAGAAGAACACAGCATCAGGATTAGAGGAAGACTCATTAACAACCTCCAATATGCAGATGACATAACCTTGCTTGCTAAAAGTGAAAAGGAGTTGAAGCGCTTACTGATGAAGACCAAAGGCTTCATTATGAATTACACTCAACATAAAGAAAGCAAAAATCCTCACAACTGGACCAATAAGCAACGTCATGATCAACAGAGAAAAAAGAAACTTTGTCAAGGCTTTCATTTTACCTGGATCCTCAATTCACAACCATATAAACAGCATTACAGAAATCAAATGACTATTTGCATTGTATCAATCAAATGACTATTGCAAATTGGTTGCAAAAGACCTCTGTAAAGTGTTAAAAAGCAAAGATGTTACCTTGAGTACTAATATGTGCTTGACCCAAGCCATAGTATTTTCAATTGTTTCATATGCATGTGATAGCTGGATACTGAATAAGGAAGACCAGAGAATAATCATGGACTGGCAAAGAATATTGAATATACCATGGACTGCCAAAAGAACAAACAAGACTGTCTTGGAAGAAGTCAGAATGCCCTTAAAAATAAGGATGGTGAGACTTTGCCTCATGTACTTTGGACATCATGCTTGGTAAAGTAGAGCATCAGCGAAAAAAGAGGAAGACCCTCACCAAGATAGACTAACACAGTGGCTGCAATATAGTCTCAAACATCACAGTGATTGTGAGGATGGCATAGCCCTGGGCAGTGTCTTGTGGTGAGCATAGGGTCACTGTGAGTCAGAACTGACTCAATGACACCTAACAACAACAGCTGTTGGCACTAATGGTCTAGACGCTGTTTCATAGCCTGAGAGTCATTATATGTTGTTGTTGTTGTTGTTAAGTGCCATCGAGTCAGTTCCAACCCATAGCAATCCTGTA